CGAGTACCTATCAGTGCAGCTAAAAGTTCCAATTTTGGAATAGACATTTCAGTTTTGATTTTGGTGATGGGATCCTTTTTTAGAGGAGCGACACGTGATTTTGCCTGCACTAATTTAATTTGAACTTCTTTTTCGCATTCAATTCGCAAAAATACGCACACCGTGAAGGCTTTCCCACTAGCGTCACTAAACATGTGAATAGTAGTAGTTGATTTATTAATTAATCCTCCAAAATAACGCGGAATTTGAATTAATTTCAAAAATCCTAAGCTGGATAGCCAGTTTTTAAATTCCTCCACTATTTCAGATGGAATTTTATGATCCCATCCCAGCTTATCATTTTTCCATGCTCTTTGCATTAGAAGCTTTGGAATGAGCGTCACGGGTGTGGTAAAACCGATTGGGTCAAATATTTTTTGTGCAATCGACAAAAGTTGCCGTTTTGTACATTTGTTATGTACTTCAGTTGTGACGCTGCTAATATCACATGTTATTGTATCTAAATTGGGTTGCCATAAAAGTCCGAGAACAGGAGAATATCTATATTTTTTTAAATCTAGATTTTGTTTTTCACCCTGTGAGGAAGAAACCCAACCCGTAAGCTCAAACCCTGCTTGAGACATAATTTGACAAGCTGTCTTTGAAAATCGCTCTAATTCCCATATGTTTTCAACGCTTGTCACTACATTGTCAACGTAAAATGCATCTTTCAATTTCACAGCGATATAATTTTCAATTTCGTTCATTTTATCCAGATGGTGATAGATGGTTGCCATGAGCAAAAACGGACTCGATGTAAGGCCGAATACCACTCTGCAATGTTTGTATATCTTAATTTTGCGTTTTTCAAAATCTTCCCACCAAAGAAATCGAAGAAAATCTCTATCAGAAGGGGACACGCTTATTTGAAGGAATGCTTTGCGGATGTCAGAAATGACGCCAATTTTTTCTTTGCGAAACTTATTTAGAACGAAAGGAATCAATTCAATATAATTTGGACCTGTAGCTAAACATTGATTTAAGGAAACAGAATTTTCGTCTTTCGAGGAAGCATCAAATACAGGCCGTATTTTAGTTGTTAAACTAGACTCTCTATAAACAGCTCTGTGAGGAAGATATCGGCATTTTATGTCAGATAAATTTTTTACATTTGTATTACTAGACACTTGTTCTATGATTCCCATTTGTTCCCATTCCTTAAAAATTTTATCATACGAATCAAATTTTCCCGAAGAGATGAGCTTCAAAGTCATGGAGTTTAAACGTTTCTCCGATTGATATCGCAAATCACATAATTCCGGATGGCCTTCAACCCATGGAAGATTAACTTCATATCTACCATCACGAAATTTAACAGTTTTTTCGAAAAAAGATTTTTCGAAGAAAAGGAACCCATTTGGTTGCTGGCTGATAAAACCAGTCAAAAATGTTCCTAAATAATCAGCGCCAATAAGAACTGATATGTTCGAATTATCGTTTTCACTATTGGACAAGTAAATTCCATTATTAGTGAAGT